ATGTAACCTTTACTTGGAAAGAAGACAGGAGAAGCTGAAAGGCTTACCTCTCCAACCAAATGCTGGTCCTTCTTGGCATGAGCTGTTCCCTCTTTGCATGAAGGGCCCTTCCTCATGCTTTAGGCCTTACCTCAAATATGCCTCGCAGATGCCTTACCTGAATACCATCTCATCTGCTCTGCTATTTAACCCAACTGGAAATTACTGCTTGCACTTGCTTACGTACTTACTGTCTGTCTCGCCCTCTTACAATGTGAGTTCCAGGCAGGCGGAGACAGGAACCACATCATTCACCAGTCACTGCCTCCCCCGTGCCTGACACATAACAGGCCCGAATTAGAGTTCTCAGCAACAGAACAAATGAGCAAGTGCAATTGATTTTTCAGAGGCAATGGGTCATTAGATTGCGCCAGCGTTGTCCAATAAATTCTCTTACCCCCTTTGACAATGTACAGAATTAGAATTAAGGTTTGTCCTTCAACCCCACTCTACTCCACACCTTTATCACTTGATCAAACATCCCAGGAACTGGAGTGTGCTTATCACACCTGCGTTTATTCACAGTTCGATGAGAGCCCTCGTTAACTCCCTTAAAATGTCTGATTGAATTTCATGTGGACGCGAATGCCACAGATTAAATATATGTTGTGTGAAGAAGCTTCCCGTTTTAACACAGCCTGTGCACTGCCAGAAAAGCATTCTGCATGTTAATCAAGATAGCTGGGGAATTTTTAAAAGACTTCTTTTTCTCTAACTTTCTAATGCATTCAGAGAAAGGGAACTAAGGCAACTATTTGCAAAGCTGTAAAAAAATCAGTGTCAAGTCAGATGGCTTGCGGGGTCCCAGTGAGGTTCAGTGACAGGCCAGGGCCCTGTCTCCGCATGTCAGAGGCAGGTGGATTCTGAGATGTCGGCTGCAGAGGAGCTGAGGGAGGCTGCAGGGAGGAGGTCCCGACTTCTGGCTTCAGTAGGAACAGTGCCCTTTTGGATGAGACAGGAATTTCACCCCGGGAACAGTTAAGCAAGAGGGACGCAGGGTGGGAAGTGAGCAAATCCGAGAATCACAGTGGACGAGATGAATTGGGATACTGAGAAAATGGAAAAATCTCACCTTCCACCCAATTAGAATGTCAGCACAGCCAGGACAGTGTGGCAAGACCAACAGGGCTGTGCCAGTGCCTGCTTTGGCTGCCGTAGAATAAGAGCACGTTGGTCTCCCTAATGGGCCCAGATTCAGAGGTTGCGTGGTAACGTGAGAAAAGCAGGCGCTTGGAAGCTCTTCAGACCTGGGTTAAAATCCTGGCTCAGCCCCTTGCTTAGACAAGTCACTAACTGGTCCTCAGTATCTCCATCTGTGAAATGAGCACGGGGTCACTGCTGGATCCAGGGAGCACAGGTGCAGCTGGCACCTCGCCAGCCTGTAGCAAATGACCCTCACTGCTGTTAGGTAAGAACTCGTGCTCACTTCTTGTTGGCAGGGACCCAGTGCACTGCTGAGTGTTTGATCCCCCCGCCGCCCTTTCACCTCCCTGCCCCTCCACTCACCATTAAAACACAGCCGGCCCTTTAGAGGCAGAAAAGATGTCAGGATGATGTGGGGAGTAGTTCTAACCGTTTGCACAATCCCAGTAAGCTCTGGTGAGGGGAAAACACCCTCACACGAATAGTTCCAGAATACTGCTGTTTATTTGGGAACCCCTGACCCATAGCCTAGGAGTCAGGCATTATCAAATAGTGTTCCAGGTGGGGTGATACTGAAAGCAACAAGCAGATGTCTGCACAGACCACTGGCAAGGGCTCCCCTGGTGGCGCAGTGGCTGAGAGTCCGCCTGCCGATGCAGGGGACACGGGTTCGTGCCCCGGTCCGGGAAGATCCCACGTGCCGCAACTCACAGATACAGAGAACAAACTAGTAGAGAGGGAAGGGGGGTGTAGGGGATTAAGAGGTACAAACTATTATGTATAAAATAAATAAGCTACAAGAATATATTGTACAACACAGGCAACATAGCCAATATTTTATAATAACTATAAATGGAGTATAACCTTTAAAAATTGTGCATCACTATGTTGTATGCCTGTAACTTATATAATATTGTACAACTATACCTCTAAAAGAAAAAATATTTAACATACAATATATTAATACCTAGCATTAACTGAGTGTTAGCTACATGCCAAGCCCTTTCCTAGCCACTTTACGTGCATTTTGTCATTTCAGTTTTTGAGGAATTTTCTATTATTATCCCCATTGTACAGATGAGAAAACTGAGGTTAACGGCCTCCCAGCTGCCCTGTGAGGCACCTGGAAATCCCCGATGCTCGAAATCACCTTGGGTTCATAGACAAGGCCAAGCCATTAGCAACATCGTTGAAAATGGTCCTGTTCACTCAGCAACACATGATTGCCCTGGTAACACTAAACATGGCTGTTTGCCCAAAAGGAGGGGGACCCCTACAAAGAACAGTTGTGAAATCCAAGCACTTTATCTTTTACTGAAAGCCAGGGTAGGCCCAGGGTAGGGGATGAACTTCTAATTGATAAACACTGTAATTAAGTAGAGAGGCTTCAGTTCAAACCACCAGGATTGTAGTTGACAATGGAAGTGTGAAAATGACCATGATTAATGAACTAGCTAATAGTGTTGCCCTGTTAATGACATTCTTTCATGTTTTAGCTAGGAGCACATGTGGTGACTGCAGATCAGCCAGTGGGCAAACCAATGTAACTTTCTTTAATTATTTCTGGTTTCTACCCTGGAGTCCCATCCAGGTGGTGAAACATTTTTAGTCAATTCAGGGCTTTTTCTCTTCCCCCCTTGCCCCCAGGGAGAGTGCCGGGGTGACGGTCCAGGCCTTGATGGTGGTAAGGGTGGCATCTGGTTCTGATTGTCATGTGTCCACTCTGGCATCCCTGGATGACAAGCTCCAGATGTGACAATGCACGTTGACATTCTGCCACACTGACAGCTGCCATGGCGTCCTTGTCCCTCCATGGCCAGCAGTCCTGTCTCCTGATCTACTGCTGTGTTCTCCTTGTTTTGGCCACAGGCTTTGCCACCGGTTCCTCTTGTCACTTCCTTCAGTAGCTTCTCAGAGGGATAATTGGCTCTACTGACTATACTGGATGCTGTTGGCACAGATGCTGAAAACTTGGCCTCTGTGCGCTGGTGCCAAATCAAACCTCAAATACAGAGTTTTGGGTAAAGTAGAAAAGAGTAGCTTTGTTGCTTTGCCAGGCAAAGGGGTCCACAGAGGGCTTCTGCCTCAAAAACTGTGTGTCCCAACCCGGGAGGATTTGGTGAAGAGTTTTATAACAATGGTTCAAGGGTGGGGTTGCTGATAAGGATCAGGGTGTGTGCAGGGCCTGCACTCCTTTAATCTGGCTTCAGGTAGTCTCTTGATGAGCTTCTCTGGTTCCTTTAATCTGGCATCCGGTGGTCTTCTCTGGAATGAAGAATTCTGACATCTTCCATTTGTTGGGGGTTTTAGTTCTGTAAAGAGCTCAAAGATATTGTTATGTGTATCCCTTGAGGGGGAACCAAGACCCTACCCCAAGCCTGCACTATTGTTTCTTAGCTGCTCCATCTTTGTCTCTGCATCCCCGCCCTTCCCTGATTAGCAACTGTTCATATCTGTCCTTTGGAACTCAGGGAAGGTCATGGAGGCTGGAGTCTGTTCCCTACAAACAAGAAACAGGGGACACAGAAAGACTTCCATGCCCAGGAGCCCCACAGTACCCTGCTCGGTTTCAGTGTCCCATCCAGAACACTTTCTCTGGGCCAGTGCATTCATCCCCCAGGTGCTTGAGCACTGGAAGCTAAGAATTCACAGCTGCCCTCCTCCAGAATTGCCCACGGCTGATGGGAAACACCTCACCTGGGGAGGGGACAGTTAGGTCTTCCTCCTCAGGGCAGCCCACAGCCATGACTGATTGATGACTGTACCAACCCGTCCCCTTGCTTGAAGGTGGTGTGATGGCCTTTCTCCTGAAACCAAATGCACTGTATTTTTTCCAACACCGATTCTACCATTCTCCAACACCAGCTGGGTGTCCAACAATTCATTCAATTCTGACAGTGACTCCCCAGAGCCAGACTCCAGGCTTAAGGGTTCAGTTCCACAAGACTGCCCTTACTTCAGACGCCAACTTCAAATGGGGTGTCCAGGCCGCTCACACTTCTGCCTGGCCTACTACAAATGTAGAGGATGCCATGACCCCCCTCAGGTTGACAGTTTGCTAGAATGATGCACAGAAGAGTGCTTTACTTACTCTTACTGGTTTATTATAAAGGCTACAACTCAGGAATAGCCAAATGGAAAAGGTGCACAGGGCAAGGAATGGGGGAGAAGGAGGTTCAGGGGCTCCATACCCTCTCTGGGCCACCACCCTCTCAGGACCTCACTGTGTTCGCCCACCTGGAAGCTCTCCACCACATCATTTAGGGGTTTTTGTGGAAGTCTCGTTACATGGGCACGAGTGATTCAATCATTGGTCATTGGTGATTGAACTTTTTTTTTTTTTGGCTGCGTCGTGCAGCTTGCAGGATCTTAGTTTTCCAACCAGGGATCGAACCCCGGGCCCTCGCAGTGAAAGCATGGAATTCCCTGGTGATTGAACTTAATCTCCAGCTCTTTTCTCCTTCCTGGAGGTTAGGAGGTGGGGCTGAAAGCTCCAGCCCTCTAATCACAGCTGGTCTTTCTGGCCACCAACCCCCATCCTGGAGCTCTCTAGGGTCCCCTAGTCACCAGTTATTCATTAGCATCCCCAAGAAGCTCTAACCACTCCCTTGCCTCTCAAATCCCTACAGCTCCCAAATAATTCCTATTAGTTAGGATGTCTTGAGCTTCAAGTAAGAAAACCTAACACAAACCAGCTTAAATAATTTCGGGATCACTCATCTAGAAGCCCAGGGGATGGGTGGGCTTTAGGGTTAACTTAGTCTGAGTCCCAACTCTGATTCCTGGGGTTCTTTTTGCTTCACCCTCTTCCAGGTATTGGCATCATCTTCTGTTTAAGAAGAGGTAAAGCCCAGAATGCTCCAGGCAGCCCATCTACAGTTCACGTTCGAGGGAAGAGCGTAATACCAAACTGATTCAGGAAGCCTTTTCAGCAGAGTAAGGAAAACTTCCCCCAAATCTGCTGACAAACCTTGCTTTGAATCTCAGTGGCCTGAATTTGGCCACGTGCCCATTTCTGAACCCATCTAGCCCAACCCTGGAGCTGGGGATGGGGTCTGCTTCCCTAGGGAGAATACACGAAGAGCACATCAGTGTGCTCCTAGAAGTGGGCGCGGGGGAGCTTCATGTGGGGTGGACAGACAATAGTGTTCACACACGATATTGTTGTCCAGTTGGCTGGGCTGGGCACAGGGCTCTGGAGGCTTTCCTAGGAACTCCTCAGGTTCAGTATCAGCAACTTTATGTTGCTCAACCAAATGCAGTCAGATGCTCTGTGAAAGGTCACGCGACTTTACGTTCTAACCAGATGGCTCAAGGGTTCTTACTTTTTGACATCTTCACCAGCACTTGGTATTACCTCCCTTTCTAATCTCATTATTGCTTTCATCTGCACTCTTTTGAATTCCAGACAGAATGCTCATTTTATCATGGATAGTCAGCCAGTTCATTTCTTCTCCAATGAATTACCTATTTATAGACTTTGCAAATTTTCCTGGTGTATGTTTTGCCCATTCCCTCCATATTCTGGATCAGGGTCAACAAACTTTTTCTGCAAAGGGCTAGATATTAAATATGTCAGGCTTTGTAGGGTGCACGGTCTGTCACAACTTCTCAACTCTGCTGATACAGCACAGAGCAGCTACAGACAGTTCATAAATGGACAGGCATAGCTGTGTTCCAGTAAAACCTTATTTACAAAAACAGGCAACCTGCTGGACTTGGCCCTGTGGGTTGTAATTTGCCAACTCTTATTCTAAATAAATATCAATCCCTTCATTTTATTTTACTTTTTAAAATTGAAGTATACTTGACCTACAACATTATTAGTTTTACGTGTACAGAATAGTGGTTTGACATTTATATACGCTATGAATTGATGGCCACAATAAGTCTAGTAACCATCCGTCACCATACAAAGTTATTACGATATTATCAACTATATTCACGTAACTATGTTACATCCCCATATCTTATTTATTTTATAACTGGACGTTTGTACCTCTTTATTTTTTATTTAAGTGTAGTGGTCTTTACAACTTTGTGTTCGTTTCTGGTGTACAGCAAAGTGATTTCGGTTATACATATATACATATTCTTTTTCATATTCTTTTCCATTATGGCTTATTACAGGATATTGACTATAGTTCCCTGTGCTCTACAGCAGGACCTTGTTGTTTATCTATTTTATATATAGTAGTTTGTATCCATTAATCGCAAACTCCTAATTTATCCCTTCCACACCCCCTTTCCCCTTTGGTAACCATGAGTTTGTTTTCTGTCTGTGAGTCTGTTTCTGTTTCATAAATAAGTTCATTTGTGTCGTATTTTAGATTCCACATATAAGTGATATCATATGATGTTTGTCTTTCTCTGACTTACTTCACTTGGTATGATCATCTCTAGGTCCATCCATGTTGCTGCAAATGGCATTATTTCATTCTTTTTTATGGCTGAATAGTATTCCACAGTGTATATATACCATATCGTCTTTATCCATCCATCTGTTGATGAACATTTAGATTGCTTCCATGTCTTGGCTATTGTAAATAGTGCTGCTATGAACATTGGGGTGCATGTATCTTTAAAAAACATTTTTATTGGAATATAGTTGATTTACAATGTTGTGTAAGTTTCTGCTGTACAGCAAAGTGAATCGGTTATAAATATACATATATCCATTATTTTTTTAGATTCTTTTCCCATATAGGTCATTACAGAGTATTGAGAAGAGTTCCCTGTGTTATACAGTAGGTCCTTAATTGCTATCTATTTCATATATAGTAGTATGTATACGTCAATCCCAATCTCCCAATTTATCCCTCACCCCCCTTTCCCCCCGGTAACCATAAGTTTGTTTTCTACATCTGTGACTCTATTTCTGGTTTGTAAATAAGTTCAATTGTACCATTTTTAAAGATTCCACATATGAGTGATATCATATGATGTTTGTCTTTCTCTGTCTGACTTACTTCACTCAGTATGATAATCTCTAGGTCCATCCATGTTGCTGCAAATGACATTATTTCATTCTTTTTTATGGCTGAGTGATATTCCATTGTGTATATGTTCCAGATCTTCTTTATCCATTCATCTGTTGATGGACATTTCAGTTGCTTCCATGTCCTGGCTATTGTAAATAGTGCTGCAATGAAAATTGGGGTGCATGTGTCTTTTCAAATTATGGTTTTCTCAGGGTATATGCCCAGCAGTGGGATTGCAGGATCATATGGTAGCTCTATTTTTAGTTTTTTAAGGAGCCTCCATACTGTTCTCTATAATGGTTGTACCAATTTACATTCCCACTAACAGCGTAGGAGGGCTCCCTTTTCTCTGCACCCTCTCCAGCATTTGTTATTTGTAGACTTTTTGATGATGGCCATTCTGACTGGTGTGAATTGGTACCTCATTGTAGTTTTGATTGGCATTTCTCTAATAATTAGCAGTGTTGAGCATCTTTTCATGTTCCTATTTGCCATCTGTGTGTTTTCTTTGGAGAAATGTCTATTTAGGTCTTCTGCCCATTTTTTGATTGGGTTGTTTGCTTTGATGATATTAAGCCACATGAGCTGTTTGTAAATTTTGGAGACTAATCCCTTGACAGTCACATCATTTGCAAATATTTTCTCCCAGTCCATAGGTTGTCTTTTCATTTTGTCTATGGTTTCCATTGCTGTGCAAAACCTTATAAGTTTGACTAGGTCCCATTTGTTTATTTTTGCTTTTATGTCTATTGCCTTGGAAGACTGACCTAAGAAAACACTGGTATAATTTATGTCCAAGAATGTTTCGCCTCTGTTCTCTTCTAGGAGTTTTATGGTGTCATGTCTTATATTTAAGTCTTTAAGCCATTTTGGATGTTTGTACTTCTTCATCTCCTTCACCTGTTTCACCCAACTCCCACATCCATCCCCTCTGGCAACCAGCAGTTTGTTCTCTGTATCTGTGAGTCCGCTTCTGTTTTGTTTCGTTTGTTCACTTGTTTTGTTTTCAAGATTCCGCATATAAAACATGCAGTATTTGTCTTTTTCTGTCTGACGTATTTGCTTAGCATAATACCTTCTAGGTCTATCTGAGTTTTGCAAATGGCAAGATTTCATTCTTTTTTATGGTCGAGTAATATTCCGTTGTATATATATACTACATCTTCTTTATCCATTCATCTATTGAGGGACACTTAGGTTGCTTCCACGTCTTGGCTATTGCAAATAATACTGCAATGAGCATAGGGGTGCATATATGTTTTTGAATTAGCGTTTTCATTTTCTTTGGATAAATACCCAGAGTGGAATTGCTGGATCATATGATAGTTCTGCTTTAATTTTTTTTAGGAACCTCCATACTGTTTTCCACACTGGCTTCACCAACTTACATTCCTACCAACAGTGCACAAGGATCCCGTTTTCTCCACACCCTCACCAACACTTGTTAGTGTCTTTTTGAGAATATCCATTGTAACAGGTGTAAGGGAATATCTCATTGTGGTTCTGATTTGCATTTCCCTGATTAATCCCTTCATTTTAGACAATGCAAAATCTTCTCCAAGTCTTCACCCAGCTGTTAGCTCTGTCTAAAGTTTCTTTTTTTTTTTTGAACAAAATCCTTACTTTTGATGTAGTCAAATGCATCCAATTTTCATCTGAAGGTTGTGCTTTTTAAATTATGTTAGGAGATCTGTCCTCCTCATTCCAACAACACAAAGATATTCTGCTCCTTTCTTTCCTAATAACTCCTTATTTCTGTAAGCTTTCACACCGAGTGAAGCCTTGGACCTGTCAGGTGTTTCCTTTTGTGTGTGATGTGGGATGCAGCTTTATCTTTCTCCCTGTGGGTGAGCTACTGACCTCACACCAGCAACCAAATCATCCATCCTTTCCCCACTGATCTGTAGCAGATGTAACCTTTACTTGGAAAGAAGACAGGAGAAGCTGAAAGGCTTACCTCTCCAACCAAATGCTGGTCCTTCTTGGCATGAGCTGTTCCCTCTTTGCATGAAGGGCCCTTCCTCATGCTTTAGGCCTTACCTCAAATATGCCTCGCAGATGCCTTACCTGAATACCATCTCATCTGCTCTGCTATTTAACCCAACTGGAAATTACTGCTTGCACTTGCTTACGTACTTACTGTCTGTCTCGCCCTCTTACAATGTGAGTTCCAGGCAGGCGGAGACAGGAACCACATCATTCACCAGTCACTGCCTCCCCCGTGCCTGACACATAACAGGCCCGAATTAGAGTTCTCAGCAACAGAACAAATGAGCAAGTGCAATTGATTTTTCAGAGGCAATGGGTCATTAGATTGCGCCAGCGTTGTCCAATAAATTCTCTTACCCCCTTTGACAATGTACAGAATTAGAATTAAGGTTTGTCCTTCAACCCCACTCTACTCCACACCTTTATCACTTGATCAAACATCCCAGGAACTGGAGTGTGCTTATCACACCTGCGTTTATTCACAGTTCGATGAGAGCCCTCGTTAACTCCCTTAAAATGTCTGATTGAATTTCATGTGGACGCGAATGCCACAGATTAAATATATGTTGTGTGAAGAAGCTTCCCGTTTTAACACAGCCTGTGCACTGCCAGAAAAGCATTCTGCATGTTAATCAAGATAGCTGGGGAATTTTTAAAAGACTTCTTTTTCTCTAACTTTCTAATGCATTCAGAGAAAGGGAACTAAGGCAACTATTTGCAAAGCTGTAAAAAAATCAGTGTCAAGTCAGATGGCTTGCGGGGTCCCAGTGAGGTTCAGTGACAGGCCAGGGCCCTGTCTCCGCATGTCAGAGGCAGGTGGATTCTGAGATGTCGGCTGCAGAGGAGCTGAGGGAGGCTGCAGGGAGGAGGTCCCGACTTCTGGCTTCAGTAGGAACAGTGCCCTTTTGGATGAGACAGGAATTTCACCCCGGGAACAGTTAAGCAAGAGGGACGCAGGGTGGGAAG